CATCTAGATACAGAGTACAAGAAATTTATTGACTGGTTTATCTTTGCACTTGATTCTCTGTTCAAAGATCACGCATAGCTTTCTCAACAAACTTTCAACAATGATATTAACTTGGAAGTAATTCTCCTATAAACAAATATTGAATAAACTGACTGCACCCTTGAGAAACCCCAAGAAATTAGTTCTTTCCAAATCTTAAATCCATTTCTTTTTTACAAAATATCTCAGTGTTTTGTCTCCTTTTTAAAAAAGGGAATATTTCTCTAAAAAGAGCTAAGTTTTATTATGGATTGCAAACTGGTTTTTCGGTAAAACTAGACAGAATTATCTATCACTATTTGATTACTACTTGGAATATTAACAAGGGCCTAGGGAGGAATTTCTGAGATTTTGTTTTATTCTTATTATTATATGGAGTTTCAAATGGATGTAAATACATTGACATACTGAGAAGCACAGTGACTGCTGATTTCCAGCATCAAAGACTTCTTAAAGACATTTATACATTCACTCTAGCATAGTTTCCTGCTTATGGCAGAGGATCTTACAGTAGAGGATCTTGTAGATCAGAGGTCCCCAGACCTTGGGCCACAGCCCATTACTGGGCCATGAGCTGTTCAAAATACGACGATTCACATCCCCTCTTGCACGAGCAGTAGGTGAGCGCATGCTCTCCACTCACACGGAAACCTCTCCTTTGCCCCTCTCCATGCCAGTCTGCAAAGCCGGAAAGCTTGGGAAACTTTGTTGTGAACAATTGGAGAGCTCATAAACAAAGGAATGACTTACCAAAATGCAGAGCACTTGCTGAAGTTTATTCTTCCCAGTCTCTTGAGTGTGACCGATAGAAAACAAAAATGTGTTAGAGCAGGCGTGTCCAACTAACAGCTCACAGGCCACAAGTGGCCCTGGGCAGCTAGTAATGCAGTCCCATAAAATCATAAACTTTTAACATGATGCGATTTTAATGATATTTATATACATTAATTATATTATATACTTTAAATGTAGCCCAAGACTATTCCTCTTCACTCAGTGTGGCCAGGCAGGTCAACATTTAAACGACCATACTTTAGAGGAGACCTGGGCAGTTTGCAGCTCCTGGGCAATATCTGGTCCTTTGGCTGTCCCTGTCTGGCCCATGTGAGGTCAATCAGAAATTAGAAATCAAATGTAAATAAGTGTACACCATGCATGCAATACAATCGCATCCTTTGCAAGGAAGCCAGACCGTCGCACCCCCAAAAAGCTCTTCTATGATGAGCTGTCTCAAAGAAAGCGATTGCACGGGGGACAAAGGAAGTGATACAAAGACATATTGAAAGTCTCCCTCAAGTCCCTGGATATTGACACTACCTCCTGGGAAACCCTGGCTCGGAATCGAACGACATGGTGCATGCTGATCCACCAAGGCTAGCAGACATTTGAGGACAGAAGAACAACCATAGCACAAGTGAGCACTCCGCAAAGCCAGAGCTGCAAATGCTGCAATAATAGTGCCTACCCGACATGAGGCAGAACATTTTGTGCCCGTATAGGCCTTACCAGCCACCTGTGGACACATCCCGGACACAACCTGTTCGATTTCAAGGTCCTCTTCAAACACAATGGATGAACATCATCACAACTGCATTCCTTTTATTTGGAAAGTGACTGCTATTTTTTTTCCAATTTGTGCAAGTATGTGTGCATGTGCACACTTTCACAGTAATCAAAACCATATAACTGATTGCTTTTTATAAAGTGTTAAAATATTAAGCAGACTCTGTCCTCTACAATAGCCATGGTTCCTTATTTGGCCTTTGGGAAAATAATTGCCCACCTCTGCTTTAGAGCTTCAGGAGTCCAAGCTAAGAACTGAAAGTATTCAAAATGAAATGCCTATAAAATGATATAAAATCATCTTGAGTAGCAGTTTGAGTTGAGTCCAGCCAAGTACAAGCATGTAGTGAGTTTGTTAATACAAGCATGTTATAATAAACTCTGTAATCCTCTGACAAATGTCATCTCCTTCTTCTCCATCTTCTACTTGCTTCTTCATCAAAACCACAGTTTTGGTAACCAGGCACTGAGATTGCAAATATTCATGCTATGCTGCTGTGGTTCAATCAAAAGGAGGCTGGTATTTTCTCTTTGCCACAGACAATCATTTTCTGTATCAGTGTTTCTTCAGCAACTTTACTCAACCTCAGTAACTTTGAGATGTATGAACTTAAACTCCCAAAATTCCACAGCCAGCATTCTGAAAGAATTCTGGGCTTGAAGTCCACACGTCTTAAAAGTTCATACATCTCAAAAGTTACTGAGGTTGAGAAATGGTGTCCTATATATCAAGCCATTAGTGCCACTTGTACATTCTTCTCCTAAGATGGTGCTGTAGTTGAATTTGCAGGAATTTGTAGGCATCAAAACTGTATATATGTAAATATTTAATCAAATCCAAATCAGGAATCCAAAACCTCAGTGACTTTTCCAAAATAATTCATGACTGAATTGTGGATTCAATGATTAAAAGGAAATGACCTTGCCATAACTTGTCTTTTTTTCTCTAAATTTCAAAATTTATTTTTTTATTTTTTATTGTTTTTTATTAGTAAAAGAAAAATACAACAGCCAATAGATTGCAAAAGACAATACAACATCCNGGCCTTCCAAAAAGCCACTAAGTCCTGGCTGTTCCGACAGGCCTGGGGTTGCTGATTTCCAAATCAGGTGCAACCCCCAGTTGACCGAATGTATGTTGTGTTTTTAAATTGTTTGTATTGTTTGTTTTCTCCCCCTGTGTGTTATTTTACTTCATTTCGTATTTGTAAGCCGCCCGGAGTCCTCCGGGATTGGGCGGCATATAAACCCATTAAATGGCGAATTGCGAATTGAAATCAGTAGGACTTAAATAGGTGTGATTAACTTTATCCCCATTGATTGCAATGGACCTTCTAAGTTTAAGTGCTAAATATTTCAATTACCCAAATGATACATCCATTGAATACAAGAAGACAAATCTTTCTGAGAATAATTTTCAGATTTATGAACACATCTTATTCTGTATTTATTAAATATTAGTTATTATAATTAAACAACAACAACAACAACAATAAATTTAGCTGGGTCTAGGCTGCTTGTTTCTGAAGACTTTCAGCAATTTACAGATAATAAAGCTTGCAGTGTTACTGTTCATTGACACATGTGCTGGGAATCTAAATAGCATATGCATGTATGTGTCTGTCCATCTATCATGGTTGTTAGTTAGATATGAAGCACATATGAAGTTCAAAGGATCTGTCATTAGTTTATTCTTAATTCATAGAAATGCATAAATATATTTTACTTTACTGCAGAATTTCCTTTTCCTATCTTAGTTTGTGCAATAGAGTATTCCCCTATGTTATTTATTTATTAAATTTATATGCCACCTATCTTATTAACAAGCAACTCTGGGAGGATTGCAACAGATAAAACCAACAATATAAAACATTAAAATTAACAGAAATGATCTAAGATAGAAACAAGCATATAACTGGATGGAGGTGGAGTCTTCTTTTTAATCCACTAACCACCTCTAGTGTTTAATAATGTGGTGTTACTATAACTCTGAAGTAATTACTTCTAAGTGCGAAATAAAATACATCAGGAGAACCTTTTTCTTGAGAAACACCTGAGTCATAAATCCACTGCAGTTTCTCATTTATTACTGTAAACATTTTTTTTTTCTGGGCTAGCAGGACAGTCTATCGATTTTTTCCCAGGCACTGATAAACAGAGGTAAATTCGTCAGCCTTACTATTGAACTAATTAATGTAATGCACTCTTACAGCATGGCTTCAATTGATCTTGCATTAGTAAAGTGTACAAATGGAGTTGAAGTGACAAAGTTGATCTATGTTTTTACTTTTGTCATTTAGCCACAACATCTTAATGTTTACTGTACAATAAAAATGTCACATTGTACAGAAAACTATCGCAATGTCTGTGTTTTATGTCTCACTATAAATGCTTGCTTCCACAGATAAGGGGCCATGGAACATTGATGCTGAGGTTAAAAAAGAGGTAAGTTAACGAATGCCTACTGTATATATGTTAGTGGCTAATACAACTGCCTGATATGTAATACAGCCCAGGTTCGATTCCCAGTAAGGGTATGGCTAGTTAATGAGAGCTAAATAGCTTGAAATAGATCTATACTAGGCTCCCTTTATATATAATATCTATATATTCTTAATATATAGGGAAATGATAGGGCTAGAGTTTCTAGGACAATAAAATAATGCCAATGAAGGTTCATCATGGTGAATGTAAGCACATTTCTTCTGATTTGTCACTTCCCTAAGTACTCAGTATAACTAAAAATTAAAATTAAAATATTTAATGTAAGCTAGCAATGCAAGCTGAAAGGTTTAAGGTGCCATTAGCAATATATTTGATTCAATCATATAAATCGGTTTAGGATTCTAGTGATTTAATCTAAATTCTCCTTATTCAGAATGTTTTTCCCCCTCTGACCAATGAAAACCCAAAGGAGAGCAGAATACGTCAAAATGATTTATTTCTTAAGTAGAATATTGTCCCTAAAACAATGCTAACTAAAAGTAATCCCACAATTGCTAGAAAAAAAATATATATGGTAAAGACTGTGGGAGAATATATACACTGAAAGCACAAGTACCAAAGACTAATTCCTTGTGTGTCCAANTGTGTGTGTGTGTGTCTGTGTCTGTGTCTGTGTCTGTTTGTGTGTGTTTTGTTTTGGTAGTTTGAATCCCTAGTTCCGCGTAATGGAGTGAGTTCAGTAAACGTATTTGGAAAAAGAAAAAAAAATATTCCCAAGGTTATTATTTATACCTGTTAACACTGAATAATACGATAAGGATAATTAAATATTTCCTACTGAGGACTGGAGCTAAAGCATCAATGCTTGGTTTCTCTTTTTCTTATATGTAATATTAAAATTTTGCAAGTAATCAAACTTCCCTTCCCTCCCTTCCCCTCCCCTCTTTCTTAAGAAATATTTATTCAAGATATTCTGAGAGACCTGAAGAAACATCATGTGGATGTAGATAAGTTGAGCCCACTGGAGCTGGACAAGATGGCTGATATCATTGCTGAAGCTGTTCAAATCTTTGATACCAATGGAGAAAAGAACAATGCTGCTGGGAAGGTTGAAGGAGAGAGAATTGCAACAGGAGTGGGTGCAGAAGGAGAAAACAATTATGAAATGGGAGAGAATGAAGGTTTTCACGTGCAAGGTATTATTATTATTATATTCAGTGCGGTAGCTTTCCTTTATTTTAATGCTTTGCATAATCAGATTAAAATACCTTGCAAAGTGTAACTAGGAGGAGAGAAAAAAAACACTTTAGCTTCTCCCTGCTTTCCTTTTCCCTTATTATGATTATGGTGTGTTCAAGAATGGGCTGGTAATTATCACTCAGTTGTAATTTGATCCAGATAATGAGTACGAATAATGCTGGGACACTATTCATTCATAGAAGTTTGTATTAGTGAGCTAGGATTAGGGTAATGTGTGGATTGGGTGGTGTCTTTCAGAGGGAAAATTTTTAGACAAAGAAAAGCCTTAAGTGGTTTTCCTTCTTACCCACTGATTTTTAAGGAAGTTTCTGCATCTGAACATGGACTACCAGGGATTAAAACCTTCAGAACATTTGCAGTGAAAATTCAGGGGATGAATGGAAAAAGCGTAAGATAGGATTGCATAAGGCCTTTAGATATAGATGCGCCAGAGATGGTATTCAGCAGGTTATGACCAGTTCTGGGGAACCAGTAGCGGAAATTTTGGGAGTTTGGAGAACCGGTAAATACCACTTCTGACTGGGCCCGCCCCCATCTAGTCTTTGCCTCCCAAGTTCCAGCTGATCGGGAGGGAATGGAGATTTTACAGCATCTTTCCCCTCCCACGCCCACCAAGCCATGCTTCTCTCCACCAAGGAACGCCCACAGAACCAATAGTAAAAATTTTTGAATCCCACCAATGAGATGAACCCCTTAAACCCAGTATTTCAATTAAAATTAGTGATTATTCTTTGTTGCTTTACTGATCAACTTGAGCTTTATATACTTAACTCTAATGTTAGCGTGATTAAATTTGGAATTGACTATTGTGTATTATTTAGTTATTGATTTATTAAATTTTTATGCTACCCATCTCCCCTATAAGGTGACTCTGGATGGCTTATAAGTTAAAAAACAGATAGAAAAATAATTGAAATATTAAAATATTAAAGCTACATAGATTAAGATTTTAAAAACTATACTGAAACTAGAACTAAGAGACGGATAGGTGGGGATGAAGTCTTATTACCCCATCAATGACCTCCAGCAGTGAGTTCCCTCTTGAGGCACCAACCCAACCAGTAAAAGCAATACTTTTCCAGGAAGCCAAAAGATTGGAAGCAGTTCACACCTCTGGTGATAGAGTGCTGGAGGATTAGTACAGGGGTGGGTTCCTACTGGTTTGGCCCAGGTTGACCGAACTGGTAGTGCGACCCAGGCCATCCATGCCTCTGAACCGGTTCCCCAGTTGGCATCATTGGCACCATCATTTTGTTTTTCAGTTCTGTGCGTGCGCAGAACAATTTTAATTGCACTGCACATGCATGCATCAAGCATGTGCATCAAGCACACACATGCGTGAAGCACACTTAAGAGTGAACCGAAAGTAGTGCCGGCCAGAACCCACCCCTAGATTAGTAGATATCCTCCAAATACATAGGATTAGATCTGGTTTGAGTGGTACAAAAAGGAACTCCTTTGAGGAGCTACCAGCAGAGATCCGGACCCTTCCCACCCTAGTGGCCTTCCAAAAAGCCACTAAGTCCTGGCTGTTCCGACAGGCCTGGGGTTGCTGATTTCCAAATCAGGTGCAACCCCCAGTTGACCGAATGTATG